ATTGATGTTAGGAAAAAAACTAAATCCCAGAAGTTATTCATTTTTTAATCCTTTTTCTATCTTAAAACACTTGATACTGCTTTTAATAAAGAACACACCTGTATTGTAGTTAGTTGAAAGGTAAGATTTGATCTATGAGAAAGGTACTGAATAGACTAGTTCAAAAAGGAGGAAATGCAAATATCAAATAACTCAAAAATATTTTGCAAAAGAAATCAAAACAAAACAGTGCAAATAAAAAGAAAATTAAACATCGATAAAGCAATTTGTATCCACTAGTAAAAAAGATTGTGTAACAGATTGATGTATCCATTTAAGTCTCTGTGGAAATTGCTACTCTGAAGACTTGTTGACTGGCAACTTTTATGTAAATCACTTCTGGGAATTTATCCTAAGAAAATAATTTAAAATATTAAAGGTTCTATCTAGAAAAATGTCACACATTTCTGGATTATATAATTATCTATAATTATTAAAAAGGAAACTGGTTTTCTACAATAATGAAATAGCTAAAGTGCTATTTATGACTTTAGAGAATATTATATAGCTTCCAAGATAATTATAAAAGAAATATAGCACCATGTAAACTAACCCCAGTATTGGTAAATGAATAAGGCAGAATACAAAAGGATGTGTCTACTTTTTGAAAAATTTAAAAGATGTGCACAGACCAAAGCACATTACGGGAAAATGAATGGAATCATGGGGCATAAGTTTTCCTGCTATTTGAAAGTAGAACGTTCCTATTGAAACCTTTAGTAAGACAAAATGGTGTTAACACAAAGGAGCAATTATCCTTAATTTGAATGGGAAAATGTTTGAGCTTTTCCAGACTCAAAGAGTAATCTACCAAATTATATCAAATAACACGTGAAAGTCAAAATAACAGAGGTACACAGGGAAAGCAGGACGGCTATGATAAAGAAAGCCTGTGGAAAGTAGAAATCGGTGTGAACGTCCTGGTTCCTAGGAAAGGAGGTTGGCGAGGGCACTCTCACAGCTTGGCACACTGCTCAGTACTTCTGGGCGCATTGCAAAACAAACAGTACTTTTTGCCTTTTCCCCCCATTAGAGTGAATAATCCTTCTGGTTAGCAAAAAGAGGTGGGGGGATCCCTTTAGTTCTTTTCATGAATTTATATGAACACACTGTGCTGCTGTGATTTAGAATCAGCTTCATGGCAATTGGGTTTGGTTTTGATTAAATTGTGTAATAATATGATAGAAACCATTGGAATGTGGCTATAGTAATAAAGCTTTATAAAAATTACATGTACTTTGATTTTTTTCTCTTCAAGAACACTGATACAAACATGTGTACCAGAATAAAAAGAGTGGCTTTATTTTCTCTTAGATGATGTGTAGAAATAGAAACAATACGTCGGGGGAGAGGGCATGTGAGCCAGGTCAGAGTAGAAAGTGTTAATCATGGAGCACTTCTGGGTAGTATGAGTTTGGGAGGCCTGGTTGACCTAGTTGGGCTTTATAAAATAAGAGAGTTTTGTACTAGATTGTACTTTACATCCTCCCAACTCTAAAATTCCTTCTGTCTGCTCTGATTGAATCTTTATGGTAGCACTTGGTCTTAAAGGGTCAAAAATTATTCTTTTAGAATCTCTCATTGTCTTTGAGCTGACTCCATTAAAAAAATCATTTTATTGGGGCTCGTACAGCTCTTATAACATTCCAGAGATCAATCGTATCACGCGTATTTGTACATATGTTGTCATCATCATTTCTTAAACATTTTCTACTTGA